ATCAAGAGATCAAACAACGTATTGCATTAGGCAAATCTGCTGCACAAGACCTTTTTAAAGTGTTGAAGAGCAAAGATGTCAGCTTGAGGACTAAGGTGTGTCTGACCCAAGCCATGGTATTTTCAGTAACCTCATGTACATGTGAAAGCTGGACAGTGAGTGAATAAGGAAGACCGTAGAAGAATTGATGCTTTTGAGTTATGGTGTTGAAGGAGAATATTGAAAGTGCCATGGGCTGCCAGAGAACCAGTTTTGGAAGAGGTACAGCCAGAGTGCTCCTTGGAGGACAAAATGGCCAAACTTCATCTCTCATACTTTGGACATATTGTCAGGAGGGACCAGTCGCTGGAGAAGGACATCATGTTTGGTAAGGCGAAGGATGAGCAAAAAAGAGGAAGACCCCCAATGAAATGAACTGGCCAAGTGGCAACATCAATGGACTCAAGCGTGGCAACAGTAGTGAGGTTGGCCCAGGATCGGGCAGTGTTTCATTCTACTCGCTATGAGTCTGTACCGACTCGATGGCACCTAATAACAACAACAAAGCAGGTAGTGACTGACTTACAAGTTTTCAAGTGGGAGTCTAGTTTCAGAGTGTGGGGTGGGAGGAGGTAGCGTCCCCACTGAATAGTTTTCATCTTGTCTAGAAAGGCATGCTGAAAAGAGATAGGGATAGGATTCTTATGATTCAATAATGAGTAAACGTTATCATGTTCTGTAATAAAAATGGGAAAGTAGTTAATTTCATAGTCCAAAAACAGAGGACCCTAGGACCATCAAAGAAGAAAAGCACAAGTGGAATGCGGGACCCTCTCCGGAGAAGCAGAGAAACCACAGATACAGAGACGGAGGCAGAGATGAGGGCATGGAGAGAGGGAGCAGCTGAGGACTCTAGACTCATGGAAAGAGAGACTGGGTACTGCTGGCCAGGAGGCAGGCTTGGAGAATGTGCCCTCTGATTATTTAAATTATTATATTTTCCTGAGTGTTTTTGTGTATACATCCTCCTTCCCCCAACAAAACAAAAACAGAGAGAATGGAAGCAAATACTGTTGAATGATGATGCACTGAGAAGACTGTAATCATTGCAATGAAATGATGGTGTAAAGCCAATGTTCTCCCATGTAAACTATCACTCAGTTCACAATAAAAACTTAAAAAAAAAAGAGTGCATGATGTATGATTACATTCATATGAAGCAAA